GGCTTTAGCAAGCGCAAGGTGCGCCCGAGGCGTGGCCAGGAAGGAGACTCCGCCCAGGAGCCATCACCAGTGAGACCACCGAGCCCCCGAGCCCTCACAGGAACCCACTCAACTTCCACCGGGGGAGTGGCACACGGCGGGGGGGGGGGGGGGAGTGGCGGAGCACCAGGGGCGGAGGCAGATTAGGCTCCGGAGAGGGAAGAAGGCAGGGGCTTCTGCTTTTGTTGCAAATGTAGACGGAGACGTAGGGGACGCTAAAGCTTGCAGCCAAAGGCAGTGAAGTTAAGCTGAGTCCAGGGTAAAATCACACCCTGGCCTGGGGTGTGTGCATCCGCGCTGCCTTCCCCAGGGTTTTCCTAACAGAGGAAGGCAGGGCATATATCCGGCGGGGTGGGGGTGGAGTGCAGGGGCGCTGGAGTATTTCTCTTCAATTCCCTCAGACGCTGTGGGGCTGACCTAGGCAGTTGTGGTCTTACAAGTGACGGGGGCTGAGGCGGCCTCTCTGGGCTTCCACTAGAGCATGTCTTTGGGCCTCTACTTTCCCATCTGTGAAGTGGGCAGGGAGACGGAACGGAAAGACCGCTGAGCGAGCGTCCGGAAAGCGGGGCTTTGGTCCGGTGTGCTGTGTGCCTGCGTGCATGTCTGAGTGCATGTGTGCGGGTCTAACCGTGCTCTCTCCAGGCCTCAGCACACGCTCCTCGGGGAGGTCCCTGCCAGCCGTGACAGGTGGCCGTGTGTGGCCACAGCCAGGGGTCAGCAGCACCTGGCACCGGAGGCTGAGCGGCATCTTCCTGCCTGAGCTCTTCTTACCCAAATGCCATCAGGCCCAGCGGCATCCAGCCCTGACCACCGCCTTCTCCCTGACACCCCGTCCAGACCCCGGGACCCTGCGGGGGCCCCCTGAGCGGTCTCCCAGACTCTGGCCTGGCCACTCGGGCCTCTCATAATCTTCCTATGACCAGCAGTGGCTCCCAGCATCCTCAAGCTGGCCAAACAGGACAGGGAGGGGAGAATGCTGTTCCCATGGGACCCGCTGCCTGATTTCTAAAATCTTACGCCTGCTTTCTTCTCTAGGTCTCTGGGACTGGCTTTCCAATTTTGGTGTTTTGGAGGCATCAGCTTCCTCAAAGGAGGACCAAGGAAGGACCAACTCTGGGATGCAGCAGCCTGCCCAGCATCGCACAGGCCCTGGAGGCTCAGCCCAGCTAGAAGCCAGCGGCCAGGCCCGGGCCGCACGGCTCTCCTGTCCTGGCCCGGCCCCTCAACCCTGCCCCGTCACCGGCCCAGCCCATGAGTGTCTGCAGAAAAGCACCCAAGGAGAGGACCCTGGAGGGGAGAGGAGACAGGGTCACCCAAAGCCATTCAGCGGACTCACCCACTTCCGCCTGTATTTGGATCCCGGTATCTAGTGGGGAGTATGGGGTAGGGAGGGAGGAGACCAAAACCCCAAGGCTGCCTGAGACTGCCCCAGGGCTGTGTGGGTGAGGCCTGGGAGACCACGGCCCCCACCTGCTCCCTGCCCTCCAAGACAGCAGGGCCCCTCAGGGGAGAGACAGTCACTGGACTCTCACAGGGTCCCACCAGGGGGCTGGGAGCCCTGTCACCCGTCTCTCCCCCACCCCTCATGTGCAGGCCCCCAGTGAGGCAGCACTGGGGGAGCCCTGAGTGCACCTGCTCTTTCGCTTGGGCCGTGCGGAGGACCCCCCCCAGATCAGAGTGGGGGATCATAGAGGAGCCAACAGAGAGGCCAGGGACTCTGGGCAGGAGCTGGGAGACCCCAGGCTCCATAGGACAGAGGTAATTCTGGGAAGCCAGTCAGAGCAAGGTGGCCTGCGATGCCCTGGTATGCCATAGGAGCGCTGGTTTGAGTCCCAGCTGCTCCACTTCCAATCCAGCTCCCTGCTAATGTGCCTGGGAAAGCAACAGGAGATGGTCCGAGTGCTTGGGCCCCTGCCACCCGCATGGGAGACCCTGATGGAGATCCTGGCCCCTGGCTTCAGCCTGGCCCAGCCCTGGCCATTGTGGCCACTTGGGGAGTGAACCAGTGGATTGAAGACCTCTCTCTCTCTCTCTCTCTCTCTCTCTCTATATATATATATAATTGCCTTTCAAATACATAAATAAAGGCCCCCACCATGTTGGTGTCCTCCTAATGAGACACTGATGGGTAACTGGGCACTGGCTCCTCCTCCTCCTCCCTTGAGACTCACAAGACACTGACAGCCAGTGCTCAATTCCACTGGGCAACCGCAGCTCCGACAGGATGTCGGCGGCCCGGCCCCGCCCCCGGGACCACACTTCCCAAGCATCCGTCCATTCTGTACAAGCCTGTGGAAGCACATTTCTGCATGCCAGGCACCAGGGCCGCAGCAATGACCAAGTCAGACAAAAACCTCCACTCCCAAGGATCTTAGGTTCTGCTGGACGAGGGAGACAAGATTGCGCGGCAAGGACAAGAAGCGCTACGGAGAGAAATGAAGCAGAGAGCCGTGCCTCAGTGCTCAGGCACACAGGACTGACAAGAAAGCACAAGCCATGAGCAGCTCTCAGGGAGTGAGCTTCCCAGGGGCGGCAAGGAGGCCAGCGTGGCAGCGGCGGCAGCGGAGTGGGTGGGAAGAGATCAGAAAAGGGACACGAGGCAGAGCAAAGTCCTGACCTCACTCAAAGCAGCTGCAGGCTGTGGGGGCCAGCAGGGGCAGCCTGCAGGAGGCAACGGTGACCTGGATCTGGGAGGATCCGGGAAGCAGCTCAAATTCTGGGCGGCAGGGAGGACCCCAGAGGTGTGGGGGAAGGGGAGACGTTGTGAGAGTGTTGCCAAGGTGACAGAGATGGGAATGCAATGGGAGAAGCAGGCACCCAGGGAGAGAGCAGGAGGTCAGCTCTGTGCTGTGCCTGACAGACTTCTAAGTGGGACGCTGACTACCCGGAATCCAAGAGAGTTGCGGGCCAGCGATGCGCATTTTAGAATCAAACACAGCATCAAACATGGCATTCCAAGGTCTGAGGGTAGAAAGGGGGAGATGACAGCAGGCAGTGTGGTGAGGAAGGCGGGAGAGAAATGCGGAGGGGGCGTGGCCTGGGTGCCAAGGGGCAAGCAAGCTGAAGGTTGGCAAACTGGATGGAATTCTTCTGTGAGGGTTACGCGTGGGTGGGAGGAGAGAGGGGTAGGCTAGTGAGCGCACATCCCACCGGGGGGACTTTCACTCCGTGGGGAGCATGGGGTGAGGTCAGGGGTCCAGGGTTTCGCAGGAGTTTCTTACAGTGGGTGCATTTGTGTGCCCATAGGAACCATGTGGGACCCCAAGGGCAAGCTGCTGCGGAGGCCCCCGCCCCGGCCCGCAGGAGCTGTCCTCTTTGATGGGGACCCCAGGGGCCCCGGATCCTGGTTCCCTGTCTGCCCGCTCTCTGGCCACGACTTGCTAAGGCTCCAGAGGTGGAACACCGTCTCCCTAAGAGCAGCGCGCTGTCGCCGCCTCCCTCCCTGGACTGAGCTGGAGAAGCAATGAAGTCACAGGTGTGAAAGTGTTTTTGCTAAATGTAACCAGTGGAACAGATGGCAGGGATTATTTTTATTATCTTAAAAAAGCAGAAGATTAATAAGCAGGTTTAGGGGATTAACGTTCGCCCAGCCCTGCTTGTGTGTGTGCACCTGCCTCGCACACTGGCTGTGTGAGAAGCCAGGTACCCTGGCTGATGTTCCCTGTCCTCTGCCTGCACCAGCCCCACGTGCCCTGGCCTGACTCTTGTGTGTCCCTGGCAGAGGTGGCCCTCGAAGGCCCACACATGCCTGTGTCCAGCTTGCTGCCCGCCGTGGGGCCCTCTTCATTCCGCCCTCCTGACCCGACTTCTGACCTCGCCCTCGGAAACAAGACTCGTTCCAAGGTGTTGCCTGGAGGGAACAGCATGGGTCTGGGAGCCAGGAAAACTGTACGTAGGGGTGGCCCAGGACTCTCCAGGAAGTGGGACTTTCCAGGCTGAGAATGGGAGAGCCCCAGGCACCCTGGACCTGGCCAAGGCTGCTCTTACTGATTGGCCGTGACCTTGCCAGGAAACCTGGGACTCATCCCTTAACTACTATGCGATCCGGAGTTCTCACCTATAAGAGGACGGCTTGGAGTTTCGTGAGATCTCTACAGGCTCTTGAGCCCTGTATTCATCCCCAGTGTTCCCCCTCGGGGGCCCGAGGGCCACGCCCAGCACCTCACACACAGTAGGTGCTCAATTAAGGCTTTAAGAATGAGCCCACCTCACTGGCTTGAGGTCCAGCTGTCCCCACACCTCTGCTCATAGTCATGACCCCTGACCGCTATCAGTGACCCATGAGCCTCTGAACCCGTGACTGAGGCAGGAACTCTGGCCACTGGGTTGGGCTGAACATTGGTGCCTTCCTAGGCACAATGACCAGTGCAAGCCCGCCCACCCGAGCACTAGTGTTGGTGCCTGGCCACCTCTTGTCTACTGGCCATTTGCTGGCGGCTGCTCTTGGCCAGAATGCTATATGACCTTGAGATCTCGGTTTCTGTATCTTAATCAAATAACAGTAAAATCGGTCTCACAGACGGACGGTGAGGCTAGCGGGAAGCAGGTGTTTTGCCAGTATCCGTGCTATTGTTCCCCTAACCAGTCCCAGCCCCCGCCACGCTCCAGTAGACAGCAAGCCCAGCCTCACCGGGCCACACAGAACCCGATGTCTTCCCAGCTTTCCAGGAAGCCTATACCCAGAACGACAGCTACTCACTCGACCCCCAGAGCCAGGATACCCCACTTTCCCAGCTCCACCGGCAGCAGAGAGAAGGCCTAATACCTTAATACCTAATACCTCTGCCCACAGCCTGGATCCTCCTGGGACAGCTTCCTCCCCGCCCCCCAGCTCAAAACTCCCTGAGCACAGCCCGGCCCACAGGTGCACCCAATGGGTTCAGGGAGGAATACAGGGGTGGGGGAGGGACTTGGGGACACAGGGGAAAGTCTGAAAAGGCCACGTGGGGGCCCAAACTCACCAACGTAAACACGCCCGCTCCCAGCACTGCGTAGATTGCATGGAGCCAGGGCACCTGTGGGCAGATACAAAATGAGATTAGGGACAGCCAGGAGGGGCAGCAGAACAAGTGGCCACGATACTGGAGGGCGTGTGTAGACCAACCCCAGTTCTCCCAAAGTGCCCCAGGGCTGAGAGGGGTCGGTGGGTCCAGGGATCCTAGGTGGATCACAGAAGGAGCCCCCCATGGGGTGACTTCTAAGGACCTGGCCCTCTCCCCACATACACCCCCCACCCCCAGCCCAGGCTCAGGCTGGAGGGGGAGGAGGATGAAGGGATGGAGGAGGAGGAGGGAGGTTCATCCTCCCTCCCAGGTCTGGCTGCAGGTTGCTGCTGCCTCCCAGGGAGCACTCACCCCCAGATCAGAGTGTGGGTCTGTCTGTCTCTCTGGCTGGGAGCTTCCTGGCTCTGCCTTGGAGGTGAGGGGCCTACGCGGAAACGGCCCAAGACGTGAACACAAGGATTGGGGGGGGGGGCAGCTTTGCAAGATGGGCTTGTGTGCAGAGGCAGCTACAGCGATCCCTAACCTCCGCTCCCCCCAGGCTCGCCCCGCCCAGGTCTCAAGGTCACTCAGCTGTGAGCCAGCCCCCTCCCCCAAGAGGAGTCACCCTGGCCTGCGCCCTCTGTGAGGCCCTCCCCCAGAAGGTCCCTGGGAACAAAGCCATCCTATCAGCCTGGCCTCTGCATAAAGGGCTCTTTGAAGTCGCCAGGGTGCCCCTTCCCGCAACCCCCTCCCCATCCTGGATACACAGAGGGCCCCCGGGCCAACTCCGGTCCCTCCTTTCGTCAACAGGATCTTGGGAAGAGCCAAAGAAATGCCAGAACCGATCCTGGACCGGGAGCCAAATGCCCCAGGCTGGGGCTGGGCAGGACAGGAGGTGGAGAAGGCTGAGGGCAGCAGTTCGGCTCCCAGCCCAGGCAGAAGCAGGACCAGACAGCGTGGCTGAGGGGGTGGTCAAGCACTGAGCCCCCCCCAACGGGGCGCCAACAGGTTCATCTCCCCGGTTCCCAGGGTTCAGGCCTCAAGGCTCTCCTGTGATGTCCCCAAGCTGCCCCCTGCCCCATGTGCTGGAGCCTCAGCACCCACACAGTTCTGGGCAGACAGCTCTAGAAAAGCAGAAATTTGGCTGCCAGCTTCTGGGTGCTCGGGGGTGAGGGGGCTCTGCTCCAGCCCCACAATCCCACTCCCCACCTGCCTGGCAGATTCAGTCTCTTTGGACTTCCTCTGCAGCCCCGTGGAGCCCCAGTCCTTCCTCCCCTGCCCTGGGGTTTAAGTGCTCTGGGTGTCCCCAGGGTCTCACCTTACCCTATGGGGAAGAGGGGGGTGTCAGGAAGTGGGGGGGAGAAAGGTGAAGCCGGATGTGGCTCCTGGAGCCGGGCAGGTGTCCAGGCCTGCCAAGAAAAGCCTCCTTGTTTGCTTACACTGCCACGGGGCCCGGGCAGGTGCCAGGGGCCTGGACAGGGTGGCAGGCTGTGGGGCTTGGGCTCCGGGCCAGCCCTGGAGGGCACAGGAGATACAGGGCCCGCAGACTCACATATTGGAAGGGCAGGAGGATGGCTAGGATGAGTCCACTGAACAGAAGGGTCATGAGCAGCACGAAGATCACGCCCTGGCAGGAGGTGAAGTCAAACTGTGGAGACAGGACAGCTGTCAGAGCCTGCGCATGCGCACCCACCCGGCACCTGCACGGGCCAGCTCCGCCTTCCCGGGGTTCCCCCCCAGCAGCCACTGGGGCACTTACCCCCTTATACCTGCGGCTTCTCCCCTTTCCCCCAGGAGGCCTCCCCTGACCTAGCGCCTCCCCCCTCTCCCCTCCTCCTCAACCCTGGATCCCAGCCGACTGTCCACCCTCTGCTCCGCCTGAAACTGGGCCCCCTGAACCTGACCTTGGTCTGGAAGCTGAAGATGGTGACCGAGAGGCAGACGAGGGCTGTGATTCCCAGGCACAGCAGCACAGATGTGGTGTTGTAGTAGCTGCGGGCGTCAGGACACATGGGGGTCAGCCTCTGGTGCATGCGCGCAGGGTGGAGGGGGCCTCTGTGCTCCCCCACTCCTCACAGTCCACTCCCCTCTGCCAGGACCTGTGTGACCTCTGACCCAGCCCCGCCCCCAGCCCCTTCCCCTGATCCCTCCTGCCTCAGCTTCCCCAACTTTCCTACTGAACCATACTTAGACCCAGGGTCATGTTGGAAGAATCTGGGACAGGTGGGTGCGGGAAGGGGGAAGGGGTCTCTGTGGGTGCTGGCAGTGGCTTTTGGGGGAGGTGGGCCTGCAGAGTCATGAGTCTGGGGTCTTTCAGCTGCTGCTTGAGAGGACTCCCCCTTGCTCCCCACCACTCCCCACCCCCACCCCACAGGCCTGCTGAGCCCTTGGAGTGCCAGAGGGGAGGAATTCCACCTGCTCCAAATGCCCCCATCAGGGTGTGGCCCAGCCTGCCCTAGGGCCCTGCTCTGTTCCCTTTACCTGGACAGCATCCCAGTGAGGTACGCCATGGACAGGGTCTGCAAGGAGAAGCAGGGTGAAGGGATGTTCGTGGCAACACTCAGACTTTGGGGGCCCCGGGCACCCTCCAGGTCAGCCTGGGCCTCTGCCCCACGCATGCTCCTGCCTGTGTCTGCAATCCGGACTCAGCCGGCGCAGGAACGTCCCAGAGGCCAGTGCACCTGCTGTTTTGTTCCTGGCAGCCTCATCCTTCCCTCCCTGCAAGGGTCCCCACACTTCTACATAGCCCAGAACTCCGGGTGCCCCCATAACAAACCTCTCAGACCAAAGCCACAAGGAAAAGGGGTGGGGGTAAGGGGAGAGCAGCTCCTTGGAAAGAGACGGCAGAAGGGCTCCATGAAGAAGTGGGCTGAGAAAGCCCCGTCCCCGACCCCCGACCCAGGCTTCCCCTCCTCCTCCATCCCCAGGCAGCACCTGGCCCCAGATCACTTACGAACACGGTCAGAAGAATCAGGTTCCATGGAAAGTGCCTCCTGCAAGCAAACCCAGGCTCAGAGGGGTTTGTGCCCAGCCCCTTCCCGCTCCTTGGGGTCTCCTGCTTCAGCCACATCTCCCTGTGCCCCCCATCTGTCTACCTCCCCCCGCATGAGAGGGAGGGGACACCCCTTTTCCTATAAGCTGATCCCCGAGAGTCATTATTATACCTGGGTCCAGAGCAGCAAGCCAGGGTCAGATAGGTGACGAAGAACACAGCGCTGTGGACAGAAGGAAGGGGAAAGGGTGGGTCAGCCGCAGCCTGGTGTCCTCGAATGTGCACCCCTTCTCTAGGAAATAGGTTCTTTACAGTGTAGGCGGCGTGAGGTCAGGGGACTTGTCTGGGGACCAGGGCCAAGCAGCCAGCATGTTGCTTGCCACAGCCGGCTTCAAGCCCACATGCGCCTGCTCCCCACACTGCCTCATTCTGCCCTTCACGGCCCCCTTGTGACCTGTGACAACCTTGTGGGTCCCTAGACCGCCACTGACCAGTCCCCGCATTAGACTGCAAGTTCAACATGAGCAGGGCCCCTGCCCTGCCAGCCTGCACCTGGCACTTACTCAGTGAGTTCCTGGGTCAGGGGCCATGTGTGGTGGGGGAAGGGCAGGTGCTCGGGGCAGTGCAGAGGTGGCAATGGTGGGTCCAGCATCCTCTGGAGAGCAGTGGAGGAAGAGGCCAGTCCAACAGGCTGGAGACGAGGACTTGGGACCCAAGGGAGGGCTTGCCCATGCCTACCTAAGTTAGTGCCACCACCGAGGCACGGTCCCCAACTCCTAATGGACCTTCAACGTGGCACAGTCGTCCTCTCCCCATCTCCTCCCTGAGCTCCCTCCCGTATCCCAGCTGTCTTCTGCACATACGCACGCACGCACACACGCACAAGCCTCCCAGCTGCCTCACCCCTGTTGTGTCCCAGAAGGAGCTGTGACGTTGACAACGAGGTGGGGCTCCCTGGCTGCCATCACACTGCATCCTCCTGCTGTCTCTCCTCCCAGCTCTGGTCCCGCCCCCTCCACTGCCAAGCAATGTCTGAGAGGTAAGCCTTTCCGCTGGACCCCCCTGCCACTTGAGCTCCAATCCGACATCTTCTCTGCCTTCATCCACCCTCGCAGCCTCTGGAAAGGGACCTCCACTCCTGGCATCCTCTTCTCCATCTCCCGACCCAACAAACCCAGCCCCAACCCCAGTTAATGACAGCTGGCTTTGCCACATCGCAATGATCTGAGTCCCACTGACACGCGCCAGCCCTTACCTTACCTGACTTCCCAGCATCCTCTATTCCTGGCCACTCCTTCTCAGCCTCCTGCGGTTCCTTCAACACAGGCTCTGCTCCCACCACGCTCTCCCGAGGCAGGTGCACCTGTCCACGTGACTCGCACTCCCGTTTCACCTCGGTTTTTCCCTTCTCAAACCCAGACTCAAATATTCCACTGCCATCCGGGAAGAGGTGGGCACTCAGCCCTCCATCGTTGCCCGTTCCTACTCCTGCAAAGGATGCCGCACAGGTGGAGGCTCTGGTCTCCAAGCAGAGATGGCAGCATCATCCTTGGCTCTCACCTGGTCCCGCCCAGCTAATCGCCTGCATCTGTGCATCTGCCTACTCAGGCAGTTCACAAACCTGCTGTCTTCCCTCTTTCCCACTAGCACCCTCTCAGCGTCTGGCCAAAGCTGTTGCAGCCCCTTTGGTCCTCCTGCCTTCCACAATCCAGGCCGTCACGTGACTCCTCAGTGGAGACTCCCCAGAGACCTGGCAGTGCCCCATCCGATCCACGCCCTCCGGCCTCTCCAACCCGTCTCTCATCACATTCCGCCCCCTCCACACCCTTCTCATCACAACCTGCTCTGCACCCTGGAAATGCGCCTGCCCCTCTTGGCTCCTGCTGGCCAGGACACCTGAGGTTTCCTCTTCCAAGAAGCCTTCCTGCATTGCCCAAGTGAAGCCACACCTCCATCCACAGGTGCAGCATCCGGGGGCGGCCTGCCGTATACTCGTGTTGTATTGTTGACTGGGGGCTTGGCACCTGCTGGGTGCTCCTTACATGTTGCTGGGTGAAACAGAAACACAACCAAGAAACCAGAAACCTGGGGTTGCGGCAAGCCTATAGAATAGGGGGTGAGACCCCCTCCCACTGCCTTAACCCTTTCCTGTTCTTCCCTGGTTCTCAAATAGCACGGAACTTGTCCGGGTGACGGGGTCCCCCTGTCAGGTGGTGTGGGGGTGCCCTTTCTCCATCCTGTCCCAGTTGGGAAACAGCCACACCTGTCCTCTCTTGGCCACCTTTGAGTCATTCCTCTGCCACTTAACAGCGCCAGCAAGAAGAGTCCATCTGCATGTGTCCTGGGTGTGGGCCCTGTCTTCCAGGCCAGACTGGAAGCTTCCTGAGGGCAAGAGCCCACAGCTCCTCAACCCCTGGACAGGGGAAAGGAAGACGGGCAGAGGGACCAAAGCCCCAGGGATCAGGACGCAGCTGTGAAGCCTGATGCACGCCGCCCGCCTGCCCCAGCTCTGCCCCTGCACCCGCGCAGCCCTGTACAAGTTCCTTAGCAGCCCAGGCCCGGCTTCCTCCTCTGCAGATCAGAAACACTGAGCCCAGCTCACAGGCTGCGGGGAGGATGGAGGAGAGAACGCAGTCCCATCAGCGCAGGGCTGAACACAGGGCAAGGACTCTCTGATGGGAGTTGCCATTATTATAATTAGACACCGGCTGATGGACAGCTCCCTCCGCCCCACCTCTGCTCTCTTCTGTTCTGCCTGCCTTTCTCCCAGATGCCCCGCTGCACAGACACTGGTGGCTCAGCGGGAGCAATCAGACAATAAGGCGAGAACCCACGGGGGAGACGCCTGGGGGCTGGGGTGGGGGAGCTGGCATCCCAGGGGGCAGAGGATGAGTCATAGAAGAATGAGAGAACGCAGGGCGGGCTCGCACGTCAGACGCTGAGCCCCAGGGCCTGGGCTGGTCTGCTCCCAGAGCGACGAGACCAAACCCGGCACCTCCCCAACTTGGCCTGTTTTAGGATGCAGTCCTGCATTCTACGGGGGCAGCAGGGCCTGGGTTTCACCACCAGAAACACCTGCTTCTCCAGCCTGGCTGTGCTGCTTAGGAAGCAAGAACAGCTCTCTGAGCCTCAATGTTCTCATCTGCAAAATGGGGGTGAACAACAGCATCTGCCGGGATGAAGTGAGACGTTTATACATGGGGCCCCACTCGTAGAAAAAGCCATGTTGTATTCCTTGTGCTGTTTGGGTTGTTCTCAAAGGCAGAGGATGGAGCAGCTCTCAGGCGTGGTGGCGGAGTCGGGACCCTGTAGCCCTCAGACACCAGATGGGATGTGGGGAAAGGCAGGGCAGAACCCAGGCAGGCTCCCTGGAGGAAACATCATGGTGCCGAGAGAAGCCCAACACCTTCGAGGTTTTGTGGCACCCGGTGAAGAACATATGGTTCACGCCCACCTCTGCCTGTCTCTGCCTGAGCCAGGACGTGGAAATGCCAAGGGCAGGCTCCCAGGTGCTCCTTCCCCACCCAGTGCTCCCTTCCCCTACACCTGAGCTGCCCCCCCACCCCCACCAATCTGCTCAGAGCATCCCCCTCCCAGCCCACTGGCAGCAGAAGGCCCTGGGGGAGGGGTCCCAGGGCTCCACTGTCCAGGCCTCGGGGCCCCCGGCTGCCAGCACTGCTGACGTGCCGGGAGCCATGCCAACCCGCCATGTGGGCTGGCCCGGGTGGCGGTCGCTGGGGCCTCATTAGTTCTCCCATCCAGGGCCTCCCAGTTCCCCCGGGCCCAGGCTGCCTGGCCTGGTCTGCAGACAGTGCTCTGCCCTGTGCCGCAGGAAAGACTCTGCCTGGCAGTCTCCTTGCCCTGGCGGCGCCAGGCTGTCCCACCACGGGGCTGGAATGAGTCTCCAGGCCCAATACTGAGGGCTGAGCCCCCTGCCCCACCAGACCCCAACCTGGGCACAGGTGTGCCGGGGAGGGGGAGGGGCAAACTCCTTGGTCAGCCCCACTGCTCCCCTGCGTGGAGTCCCCTCGTGCCTATGCCACTCCTTCCCATACAGCGCCTCAGTGGTCTCCGCCCTCCTTGCAGGTGCACCTTGGGATATGTGCAGGGCTCCCTTCTTCCCACCTCTCTGCGGCTGCCTTGCGTCACCCCAATCTTCCCCAGCAGCCCCAGAACAGGGCTGGGCTCACAGTGGGAGTGGAGGGAGACCAAGACCAGTGTATTTCTGCTTTCGGCGTCCCCTGGGGCTGCTGTGGCCTGAGTCACCTGGACAGAAAGGTGAAAGCAGCTACACTTCAAAGCCCTTCTCCAAGGGATCCGCACAGGAGCCAAGTGGCTCTAGGGTTGAGGGGAAGCTGCCAAGCAGAGGTATTAGGAGCACAAGTCTCAGCCTGAACCCTGGGTTTGAGTCCCGGCTCCACCACTGGCAAAGCTGGGTGACCTTGGGCAAATGACTCAACCTCTCTGAGCCTTCGTTTTCTAAGGTCATCGCACTAAGCAGATTTGAGGATCGGATGCAACATTGTACACAGAGGGACACCCAGCCCTTATTAGACACTCTCTGAGTGGGAGCTATTATGATTAATGATTGTGCAAGCACTAATAACATCGTTAATAAGAGCAGCAACAGTATCATTATTGTGGGTCGAGGTGTTCCAGTCCCCCTCCCCTTAAGGTCGATGGTCTCCATCTCCCCAGCCCTACCTAACCAGCACGCGCGCCATCTCTCCTCTGCCCCACCAGATCTCAGCTCCCTCCCCTCCCCCCAGCAAGATCCTACAGAATGCAATAGGGCCATGGGGAAGCCTGGGTTTGGATTTGTCTGCACAGACACGGCGGCTCCCTCCTCCCACTCCTGGGCATCTCTGGGAAGGGGCCCCGGGGGGGCCAGGGGGTACTCACTAGGACGCCCAGTACCAGCCCGGATTGGCTTGAACATAATCCTTCACAGGGTCACTGCAGAGAAGTGGAGAGAGTCAGGATGACCCCAAGTCTGCATTTGTACCCCTGCCCTGTGGCTGCCCTGCACAGCCCCCTGGGCACGGAGCAGTGGGTCCCTTGGGTGTGTGGCAGATGCCCTGGGGTGGCCGATGGCCCAGAAGGCTCCAGGTGCAGCCCATGCCCGACCAGAGGACGGCTCTCCCAGGCACTCTTTTGGGTTCCTCCCCGCATGGGGGAGGAGCCTCCAACCACATCCCGGGAGAGACCCTCCCAGGCCCACGTCCATGCATGTTGTCAACTCACCAGAAGGTAAAGAGAGCCACGACGCCCAAAGTCACCAGCAGCTGGATCAGCAGGATGGTGTAGACCTGGGGGAGGGAGGAGGCTCACACTCAGCCTGGGGCTGGGGGGCGGGGGTGCTGGGTGGGGCTGGGTGGACTCAGGCCCCCAGCCAGGCCCCAGGAGAGCCCGCCTTCCCCAGGGGACTCAACAAACTCTCCAAGCTCATGGCCTGGGTGCTCACCCTGCTTCCTTGGGGTCACTGGGACCGGCCTGGGACACAGAGAAAGGAGAGTGCCGAGAGCGGACCCGCAGGAGAAGGGGTGGAAGAGATGACGCGTGCAGGGGTGGTGGGGAGCTGGGGTGAACCCTAAGATGGCCCTGCCCTGTGGGTGCTGATGGCTGGGATCCCCCAGGAAGGGGGAGGAAAACTTCTGTGGCCAAGGGCTGGGCTCTTCGGGGCTCCCCCAAGGAGGCCCCCAGTCCTAGAGAGTCGGGTAGAGGCAGCTAACCTTTCTGATAAAGACGCGGCGGACTTTCTGGTCGTCCCAGCTGAAGGTGGTGAAGAGTTCATGGTGTCCAGTGGAGAATCCGCGGTCATAGCTGGAGCTGCTGCCTGCGTGGGCAGGTAGAGGGCCGTGAGGGTCCCCGTGCGCGCGGAGCTAATGCCGCCAGCGGCCCCCTGCCCAGGGGGCGCCATTCCATGCCATGGGCTCTCTGCATCTGCTGAAGTCCTCCCTCTGGCCACATCACCCAGCACCACACCCCTGCCCGCCCCTGTTCCCTCTCCCCTGTCACGTCTCGCTTTCTCTAGAATGAGCTGTCATCTCCCTCCCTGGCCCTACACCCTGGCAGAGCCCAGATGATGCTATCCACCTCCTGGACACCAAACCAGCTAACAACAGAAGCCTGTGGCTCTGTGCCTGGTGGCAACGACACCACCGTCTCCCTAGTACCCCCCCCCCCAAGTTGAGGACACTCCCAAGTCCTCACATGGGGTCCCTTAGATCCCCTCCACTGTCACCCCCTCCCCGCCCTGCTAGTCCCCTAGCATGGCCCCCGTCTTGGTCTTTCAAAGCTGCCATTCTACTGCCCTGTGGTGAGCTCTTCAGTGACTCCCCACTGCCCTCATTCAAGTTCAAGTTCCCTATCAAAGCCTGCACAGCCCTGGTGAGTGGGGCCACTGCCACTCCACTGCACATTCCTCCCTCCCACTCTTCCCATCAGCCTCGCGCTCTCTTTGCCTCTGGGCCTCTGCACATTCTTTTCTTTTGGTCCTAAGCCCTCATCTCCCTGGCAGAGCCTGGGATGGGGATACGGCATGGATACCCCTTCCTCCAGGAAGCCTTCCCAGACTGCCAGGCAGGTTAGGTGTGCTGCCCAGGCCTCTCTCACTGCCTCTGGATCACTGTGTGATAGTCATCCCACTTATTCATCTCATGCAGCTAACTTTGTCAGGGCAGGGATTCTGGCAAGGCTTGCAGATCAGTGTGTCTCCCCAAAGGAGCCCAGGGTGTCAGACCCTGCCTTGGTGCAAGTTTAGCCAAGTGTTGGTCTTGTCACATGCTGGCCTGCCTTCCCGCCTCCACAGCTCCTTGGAAAACGGCTCCCGTGGTAGTCACTTCCGGAACTGAGAAATGGGAAGCGAGGCAGAGGACAGAGGTAGATCCACTGTAAACCCAGCCTGGGGGCTGGGCACCCTCAGCCACTCGTCTCTCCTTGTTCCTTTATGTTCTAAATACATCCCGGCCAAGATCCAAATGGCCAGGACCCAGCAAGGCGGGGGAGAGGGAGCAGGCACGCTGTCCCGGGGGGTTGGCTGGGGGCGGGGCAAGGGGGCTCCATGCAAGCCAGACCTTCATGAACCTTCCAGTAGGTCACATTGGGGTGAGTCTTCAGGGCTCTGGCCCCGGAGGACGGGGAGTGGGAGGGTCGGCCCATGGCAGCCACTCCCTGTGAACAGAAGCTCTGTCCAGGGGCATTGTCCTTGGGATTCCTTCTAGAATTCTGCGAGCAGTGGGGGCGGGGTCAATCAGTGATGAGGGGCTTCCCTACAGCCTATGGGAAACTGTGTGTTCCTGGCCGCCAGGTAAGGCTCCTGAAGTGAGTGGCTCAACCCAGCCAAACACCCCCAACGGCTGCAGGTGTGTCGCCCCAGTCACTTATCTGATGGTGAACACTGCCCCTTTTCTTTCTCACGGAGCCCTCCAACCAGTCCTCTGAAGCCCTCAGCCTTTGATAACAGCCTCGTGCAACACACACACAGTGCATCTCTTTCTGGGTAACTAACTTCCTCCTACCCGGCTTTCCCACCTGGGTCCGCCACTCCCTGCGATGTCCCAGCCTCTGGGAACTGGGAGACTTACTGGGGTCCACGTAGGCCCAGCTGGGGTGGAGAGGCACAGCTGTGGAGGTTGGGGGGAAGGCCCCTGCCTTCAGCCCCTCCCCAGAGGTGGCCTCTTCGTAGGAGGGCGGGGCCGAGGGCACAGCCGGAGTCTCCTTCTTCTCCCCCTGCGCCTGCTGCTGCCCTTCGGTCCCGGGGGCCTTGTTAGCCACGGAGAGCTGTGGAGCAGAGCGGGGAAAGGTGGTCACCAGGGAGAGGGGGCTTCCACCTCCGCGTCCCCAGCCCCTTGGTGCCTGGGGCTTCCTGGCAGGTTCTCACCTATGCTCAGAAGGCAGGCGTGTGCACCGAGCCTACCTATTGGGTAGCCAAGAACTCTGCTCCAGCGGAAGTGAGGAGGGAGGGGCTTCCCCGAAGAGCCCACCACTGCTGGTCACTGTCCCCGGGGCAGGGACCGGGACTCCCTGGGGCCCAGGAAAGGGTGGCACAGAGGAGCCCCTCAGTAGTGTCACTGATGGAGTGTTCTCCCATCTAATCTCTCTGCCACTTTGTGGGCTGTATGCTGCCTCGGGATCAGAGAGGAAGTGACTTGACCAAGGTCATAGGGCCGCATGTGGCCTGCCTAGCTACAGGGCCCGGGCAGTGGCCCCTGGGACTGGCTTCCTTGGGCTGGGCTAGTAATGGCACAGGAGCATGAGGAGGGGAAAGAAAGAGGGTGGGGAGTGAAGAGAAGAGAAGTGGCTGCAGTGTGCAGAAAGGGCAAGGGGTCCCCACGAAGGGCCCCGTTCTGGCCTCATCCTGTTGGGACCTCAGCATCTCCCCCAGCCCAGAACACTTCCCTCAGAAGGCACACAGTTTAGCTCCTACCTTCACTCAACAAATGGGGAAACTGAGGTCCAGGGGCCAAAGTGTTCCCAAGTCCACTTATGCGCTGCTCTGCCCTCTGCCTTACAACATACACTGAGCTGTGCTGAGGGGATACGAGCTGTGAGGGCTGGAACACTGCAGCCAGACGAGGAGAGGCTGCTGTGGAGGGAGTGGGGTGTGGAAAACACAGCGACACCAGGCCCTGGGCAAAGGGGAATCGTTCAATGCAAAGGTCCCCCCCACCAGAAGGAAGGCTGTGGGCTCCTTAGCAGGGAGACCTGCTGGCGGTGGCCCAAGGACAGGAAAGGGCCAGGAGGCTTTGAGTACCCATCTGGCCTCCAGGACCCCTGGCCTGGAGGAGTCTTTTCCACTCCCTCCACTCCTGGGGCGAGGAGTAGGTGGGTGGGGGCGGGGCCGGGGTGGAATGAGAGGCTCAGTGGAGGGGATGCACCTGCTTTTCACAGCCCTCAATCCTCACCAGGCCTCCTCGGTGAGGGTCCTTGGAGCCCAGGCCCGTGAGAACGCTTCCCTCCCATTCCCCACGCCCTGTCACTGCCCCCCAAGACCAGAGAGGACACCCAGAACCCCCACTGCAGTGCCCGCCCTGCCATGCAGCCCCCAGAGCCTCCTGGGCCCTGCCCACCCCCTGCCCCGATGGTATTCCCAAATGAGGGCTGGCCAATGGTGGGGGGTGGCATCACCCAGTGACACCACTTTGAGGCCCGAAGAGCTTAAAAACAGGATACGGGGGGGGGGGGAGGTATCTGAGGAACCAGGGACGGCTGCCATTGGCTCCGAGGCTATTCTTGGAAAGAAGAAGTGGGGGGGTGCAGGGGGGCCTTTCCTCGGTCTCCCTGTCCTATCCCCAGTACCCCCAACCACCGATGGGGACCCCCCTGTGCCCCTAGGCCCCGCCTTTGTGTAATTCCACAGGCTGTTGACATTACATAACCCTAGGAGGCCAGCCAAGTCCCTGCCCAGCCCTTCCCCCACCACTCAGGGCTGAAACTGGGGGAAAAGAGATGTTGTGTCCGGTCCCCACCAGCTCCACACCTCGTGGAAACCAAAACAAAAATCAGAGCATCCTGATGCAGGGTTGCCATAGTAACCCCAGCCACACGGGATGGCACGCAGACATCCAGATGTTAGCTAATGAGGAGGGAGGTGCTGGGGGGTGCTTGTAGAGGGGGCAAAGACCCTCGCAAAGTGGCTGGGTTTGGGGCTGGAGGGTCGGACCACAAGGGATGCTTCTCGGGCGCTGTCCCTCAGGGCTGCCCTGGCAAGCAGGTGCCTGGGAGGGGCGGGGGGCGCGAGGAGAGGACAGCCACGTCTTGCAATGGACCTTTCGGCCCTGACCGAAAAAGAGGATGCTTAAGGGTGCTCGCTCGGATGGCAGGGAGGCAGGAGCCCAAGGGATGGAGGATGTGCAGGTAGGGGTGCCGGTACCTTGCCCTGGGTCATGGTGCCGTCTCTCGGGGAACGGGTCCCTGAGGCAGGGGTGGCCGCTGGGGTCAGCGCAGCCTGCCTGCGTCGCTTCCTTCCTGCGCGTGGATTCTAGCAACATCCACTGCGGCCGGGCCAGGCGGACCGGAGCGTACCATCGGCGCGGGGAGGAGGGGCGGCGCGGGGGCGGGCCAAGGATGCTGCGGAGCCGCTGCGGCTCGGCGATGCGGGAGCAGGACCAGCGCGGGCGCGCCTCCCCCGTCCCCCCAGCCCCGCCTCCGTGCACTGCCGCACCTGCACCCTTAGGCGGCCAGGGGCGCGTGGCGCTGCGGAGCAGCCCGGTGGATGAGTCCGCGGGGGAGGGTGCGGGGGCGGCGGGGACCGTGACATCCGAGCGGCTGATGCCGCTGGCTGGCATCGAGGCCTCCCCGCTCCGCGTCTCGCGCCCAGGCTCTGCCTTTCCCCCTCCCTCCCTCTTTGGTTGCAGCCCTGATTTCTGCCCCCATCTCCAGCCGGCTCAGCGGCTCCGTTTCCGCAGACCCCAGGCGTCTGTCTCCCTCGCCCGCTTCTAACAGGGCCCTGGAGGAGCAGTGCAGCTGCCGCTCCTGGCCTCTCTTCTCGCCTGTGAAATGGGTCCGATGCCCACCCCCCGCCCCCACCCCCGCAACTCTTTCCTTGTCTGAGGGGTACTGCAGGGGAGGATGTGGCTTCTGTGTCGCTCATCCCTGCTGGGATATTTCACCACATTTTTCTGTCTCCAGGGCTGGCCACCTCCTGTGCTTTCCTCCTGCCTCCATCTCGCCCTCCCTGGGCAGAGCCGGGTCCACCCTCCTGCCCAGCTTTGTCCTTGAGACCCAGGCCATCACCGGGCCCTGTTTTCTGCCATTGCCGCAGTGTCACTGTGGGATTTGCCATCTCAAGACTTGGGCTCAACTCCCAGTTTAGTCACCCACTGGCCGTGTGACCTTGGCAAGCTGTAACTTCTCCCGTGTCTGAGCAGCCCACGCCCTGCTGCCTGTGTGAGCTGTTGGTAAGAGAGGTCTCTCCTGCCACAGTGTCTGGGGCCTCTCTAAGGTGAGCACTTAGAGATGGGCCTACAGCAAGGCCTGGGATGGGCGGAGGTGGCCACTTCCTTCCCATTCTCCTGGCATCCTGGCAGGGCCCTGGGTGGCAGGTGCACCCCACAAGTCTTTATTCCAACTCTTCTTTGCGTTTATTTGGGTGGAAGGCAGAGAGAGAGAGAGAGAGAGAGAGAGAGAGAGAGAGAGAGGTTGAGATTGATTCTATCTGCTGGTTCAAGCCTCAGATGCCCATAACAGCCCGGGCTTGGCTAAGCCAAAGCCGGGAGCCAGGAACTCCATCCAGGTCTCGCACTTGGGAGACAGGGACCGGGGTACTTGGGCCAGAACCTGCTGCTTTCCCAGGTGCATTAGCAGGGTGCTGGGTTGGAAGTAGAGTAGCTAGGACTTGAACCGGTGCTCCTATGGGATGCTGGTAGCACAGGCAGCAGATGAACCCGCTGTGTTGCAATGCTGGTCTCCATGCCGTCTCTTCTTGGCTCGTTGTTCCCTGCTCCGTAACCACAGGAGCTCTGAGCCCTGCAAATCTGAGCCTCTAGCTTCCTGTTGGGTTGCATTCTCCCCTTCTGAGGTTTCCTTGCACCTGATGGAGCACCCGGCTCGTGGCGGCATGGAATTTCTTTGTCTGTCTCTGTTAGACTCCAAGGAGCCTATGATCCAAGTGCTTGGGTCCCTGCCACCCACATGGGAGACCTGGATGGAGTTCCAGGCTCCCGGCTTTGGCCTGGCCCAGCCCTGGCTATGGTGGCCATTTAGGGAGTGGACCAGCAGATGGAAGATTTCTCTCTCTCTCTCTCCATATCATTCTGCCTTTCAAATAAATAAGTTTAAAAAAAAAAAGGACTCCAAGGGTCCTGTCTGTGGCATGCTTATGTTGGCTGGGCTGAGCACAGTCCCACACATGTAGATGCAGGCAATACATTGCAGGAATCAGTATTCTCCTGACATGTGTCCTTACCCAGAGCCTGGCTTGATGGAGGTCTCTACGCTTCATGCTTCCAAATTCCCCTGTTCCTGTTCCCCTCACTCCCTCTGCTCCAGCTCACAGGCCTCCTGGCTAGACCAGGCCTGCTGTGAGCCCAGGGCCTTTGCACATGCTAGGTCTTCCATCACTGCATGGCTCAATCCCTCACTTTCTTCGTTGCTCTGCTCAGAAGTCATCTTTTATTTTCAAAGATTATTTATCTGAAAGAGTTACAAAGAGAGAGGAAGAGACAGAGAGAAAGGTCTTCCATCCATTGGTTCACTCCTCAAATGGCTGCAATGGCCAGGGCTGAGTCAGACTGAAGCCAGGAGCCAGGAGTTTCTTCTAGGTGTCCCACAAGGGCTCAGGCACTCGGATCATCTTCTACTGCTTTCCCAGGTGCATTAGCAGGGAGCTGGATTGGAAGTGGAGCAGTCGGGACTCGAACCAGCACCCGTATGGGATGCAGCTTAACCAGCTACACGACAGTGCTGGCCCCGAGAAATCCTCTGTTGGGGAGGTGCCACCAACAGCCCCCACCCACCACCCTGGACAGTCCCTTTTATCCTGCTGTAGCTGTGTTTCGTTCCTCCAATGCAAGCCTCCCCTCCGACATCTGTTTTTTGCTTCGTTTTTCTCTCTCTCCCACTGAGACATCAGCTACACAAGTGGAAGAAGTCTAGGGTATTTTGTCCTAGTTTTATCCCCATGGGTTGAAATAGTGCCCGACATAGATGCAGAAGGTGTCTGGTGACACAGCTCACTGGGCTCCACAGTTCCTCAGTAGATTTCTCCGTAGTGCCCATCTCTGAGTGACACACGGTGGTGGCTGTCATTCATCGAGAAGGATGGCATCCATGCAGACTCACCCCATGCAGGAACGGGGTAGGGGTAGGGGTAATGGTGGGGGAGGCAGGGCAGGAGGGCCTGAGGTGTGCGTTCCTTGTGGGGGTGCCCCAGGGCTGGCGGTGTCGCATCCTTGAATCCCCAGCCCTGGATGGGTTTTATTCTGTTTGCATGAGGTGAGGAAGTAGGGGAGACAGTCTCAAGTTGGTTGGCTTGTTTCTAATCTGAAAGAGAGAGACAGAGAGAGAGAGAAGACGCTCTCACCTCCTGATTCACTCCCCCTAAGTGTTTGCAAAAGCCAGGAGCTAGGAACTCAATTTGGGACTCCCATGTGTGGGTGGCAGGGATCCAAATACTCGAGCCATCACCTGCTGCTTTCCACAGTCTGCTTTAGCAGGAAGCTGGAGGCAGGAGCCAGAGCTAGGGATCCATCCCAGGTCTCTGGTGTGGGACAGAGGACCCTCGATTGCTGGGCCGTATACCCGCCGCCTTTTCAAGGTTTTGTGAGCAGGGCGATGACATCATCAAAGACGTGCTTGCCAAAACCAGGTGGCTGCAGCAATGTTTGTTAGGAAAGCGGTTTTTATGGACTGAAGCACAGGCATCCCATATGATACAGGTTCGAGACCCGGCCGCTCCACTTCTGATCCAGCTCTCTGCTATGGCCTGGGAAAGCAGTAGAAGATTGCCCAAGGCCTTGGGCCCCCGCACCCATGTGGGAGACCCAGAAGAAGCTCCTGGCTTTGGATTGGCTCAGCTCCAGCCATTGCGGCCATTATTAAAAATCTTAAAAATAAGATTTATGTTATTTATTTGAAAGAGTGACAGAGGGAAAGACAAGGGCCAGGCTGAAGCTAGGAGCCAGGAACTCCATCCAGATTTCCCATATAGATAGTACAAGTGACCCATGCACTTGGGCCATCTTCTGCTGCTTTCCCAGGCACATCAGCAGGGAACTGGATCAGAAGTGGAGCAGCCGGGACTCGAACCAGCACTCAGATGGGATGCCAGTGTCTCAGGCCACGTCTGAACCCACTGCACCGACCACTGGCCCCCACGCTGTTTTTGAAAGGAGCGGAGCTATGTGCTCTGTGGGCTCAGGCTGGGTGGTGATGACTGTAGGGCATCCGGGTAAGGAAGGTCCCCTGGGCACCAACTGGAGGCTCCTGGCGTGCAGGAGAGAGGTGCGGCGGGCCACCCAGTGTGAATCACGTTCTGCTTCTGGGGAGAGCTGCTCCCCTTCCCACCTTGGCCCCGTGGAGTACAGCAGTGGGGTCCCTACTAAGCCAGGCTTGAGGCTCCCCAGCTCACTCCCACGTGGATACAGGCTGAGCCCTGAGTTCTGTCCCCCTTCCCTCTACCTGCCCCTGGCCGCTGGAGTCCCTGCGCCAACTTCGCCAAGGCTGGCCGGGGTAGGCCAGCACGGCCCACTCAGGGCTCTTGGGGCCACAGGGTGGGGCCCCAGCCACTGCCTCGCCTCCTTTCAGGTCCATGGCGTGGCGACCCAGCCTGCTTCCTGCTCTTGTGTCAGCCAGCTCCGTTCTGGGCAGGTGTTGGAGAGGGCAGAGGCTGCCTTTCCTTTACCTGTGACGGAAGCACAAGGAGGTTTACTTGCCCGACCCCAAGAGACACGGCTGGGGGCGGGGCCGGGGGCGGGGCAGAGGAGGGGCGGTTCTCAGGCTTCCTAGGTGGGTGGTGGGGGAGGGGGAATCGCAGCGACCCAGGCAGCTCTCGGAAGAGCCTCCCCCCACCCATTCTGAGCCCCAGGGGAAGAGAGAACTCTAATTTCAAGGCCAGTGACAGGGAAGTGGGCGGGGCAGAGCCCCACACCCAGGTCTCCTGGAGTGGGCTGGCAAGGGGGCTGCCTCACTGCTGCCCACGGCCTGCTGGGTATGCCAGGGCCTTGGCCCTGAAGCCTCAGAGCCTGCGGGTCCCTGGTCCCTGCTCCCCTCGCTGCTTGCCCCCCACAGCTGGAGGGCAGAGAGCCCCACCCTTCCGTGCAGGCCCCTTGGGACACACTGTACCTTCACAGACACGGTCTGCAAACACAGGATGCAGAAGCCCAAGGGTTGCCAAGCTTCAACGTCCTGAATCACTCTTCTCCTAGCTGCAGGGAGTTCTGGGTAAGGTGCAAAACCACATTCCCGCCCCTCCCAGTTCTCACTCCCCCCCTCCCCAAACCAGGGATCTGGGGCAGGGGGTGTGGCCTGTGTCTGAGACTGGAGCAGACACTGGCTGAGGGCATGAGAGTCAGTTTCCAGGCTCCCCACAGCAGCCTGCAGTCCCCCACACTCCTAACCGGGGTCAGTTCATTCCTTAGGAGGCCCTGGTGAAGTCCCCTCAGAGCATAATAATGGAAACCAACAAATAAACAGCAGGAAAGACCCTGAGAAGTCACATCTTTCTTCTGGTCCTGGGCCTGCCCTGCCTGGCTCCTGGACTGGCTGTGGGGTCGACTCACACCGCGTGGGCTGCTGTGCACACACCTCTCTGGGGAAAGCTCCTGCAAGGTTCCGGCCCTGTATGCTGATCCATGCGGGCCCGCTCTGCCCCGTGCACCTGCTGGACTCCCGTAGTGAAGAGCACAGACATTGGAGGGGAGGGTCTAGTATGAATTCCAGCTCTTTCGGCTGAGCTGTGAGCGTGTTTCCTTGTCTGTGAAATGGGTGTGCACTTACTAAGTCACTCATCCAGCCAATATCTGCTGGGGGCCTACTGGGATCAAACACTGAGCTCAGACAGAATCCCTGCACTGAGGGGTTCACTTCTTGGAGGAGACGCCTCATGCCTGTCTCAGGGAGTGAGTGTGGGAACTCCATGGGGTGGCTTAGGGACTTGGGCTTAGCACTGTCCGTGCCTGGCACCCAGCACAAGGTCTGATGAGTAGAACCATTTATTGAGAACTTACTATGTGCACAGGCAATGTGCCAGGTGCTAGGGAGACACAGATGTGGACCTCACGGAACTCCCAGGTGAATGTACCTGCTGTGTGTCACATGCACCCACTTCGTCATCGCTCAGAAACTCACAAGCAGCACCAGCTTGCAAGCACTGTGGAATTCTAGAACGTCATCCCTCGGCGTCCTTGAGATAAAGCCCCAGGTGTGCAGAACTGTGCTTTGAGGGGGTTCAGAAGGGGGGGGCGATGCTATGTGGTTGGGGGATCAGAAGGGACTGGCAGGAGAAGTGGCCTTCGGGCTGCAGGGTCAGTGGGCATAGGCCGTGGTGGCGGTGGTGGTGGGAGGGACCGAGGCAGACCCCGCAGGGGACCAGCAGTGCACACGAGTACAGGCAAGGAGGAGGGAAAATGTGGGACAGCGACGCGCTTAATCCCAGGACAATGACGAAGGCTTGACCCAGGAGGAGGTTGGATCTGAGCCAGGCTGCTGTCCAGTGTGTGTGTGTGTGGTGTGTGGTGTGTGGTGGGTGTCTGAAAAATTCATGTATCTTAGGAAAAATAGGTGTTTTTTTTTGTTTTTTTGTTTTTTTTTTTGGACAGGTAGAGTTATAGACAGTGAGAGAGAGAGCCAGAGAGAAAAGTCTTCCTTCCGTTGGTTCACTCCCCAAATGGGCCACCACAGCTGGTGCTGCGCCAATCCGAAGCCAGGAGCCAGGTGCTTCCTCCTGGTCTCCCATGCGGGTACAGGGCCCAAACACTTGGGCCATCCTCCACTGCCTTCCTGGGCCACAGCAGAGAGCTGGACTGGAAGAGGAGCAACAGGGACAGAATCTGGCACCCCAACTGGGACTAGAACCCGGGGTGCCGGCGCCACAGGCGGAGGATTAGCCTAGTGAGCCACGGCGCCGACCTGAACTTTTAAATAAAAGATTTATTTATTTATTTGAAAGGCAGAGTTACAGAGATGTGGAGAGAGAGAGAGAGAGAGAGAGAGAGAGAGAGAGAGGTCTTCCATCTGTTGGTTCACTCCTCAAATGGCTGCAACGGCCAGAGCTGCACTGATCCAAAGCCAGGATCCAGGAACTTCCTCCAGGTCTCCCAGGCAGGTGCAGGGGCCCCATCTGCTTTCCCAGGCCATAGCAGAGAGCTGGATGGGAAGTGGAGCTGCAGGGACTTGAACCAGCGCTCTTATGGGATGCCAGTATTGCAGGCAGCGGCCACGCCACAGCGCCGGCCCCACCATGAACTTTTTGAAGTTCTCACATATTCACAGGTTCAGGTGGCAACTGCCCAAGAGGTAGAACTTGAACGACCCCCTTCCTAGCCCTCTACCCCCGAGCAAGACTGCACCAGACTCACAACTCCACCATTAGAAATGCATTTCTTTGGATGAACATTCAGATTCCAAGAAGGATGGTTCTGGGCCAGGGGGGAAATGGTGGGGAAGAGACCTGGGCACGTGGAGAGCCTGGCAGGGCAGAGGACCTAGCCCTCCTGCGCACCCTTCGCTGGGAAGTCACCTGTGGCTGCCTGAGCACTGCTGGACCCTGGGAGGCTGCCCTGGGTCACTGCGGTGGGATGAGTGGTGTGGGCCATCCAGGGGGAAGTGCGCTGGGGCTTGGTGGTGAAGGTGGTGGCCATTCACAGATTCGGGGGCTCTTTAAGGGGGTAAATGGCCCACACAGGTGAAAGAGGACCTGGCCGCAGCAGGTGAGGGAGGAGGCGTGTCTCCAGCATGAGCGCCCTCAACAGTAGGCTCTGTGCGTTTAAGTGCTTGCCCAGCCAAGGTCATGCACAGATCTCAGGGCCTGGAGTGGGGCCCCCAGCCCTGCAGTCAGACCCCCGAGCCCAGCCCCCAACCACCGGGCAGTGCCGCCCCTGGGACTCAGTGTCACAGCCAGCTAAAGTGGCTTGGTGGTGGCGGTGTGAGCGCTTCCCTTCCCCCTGAGCCGTGAGCTCCGGTTCTCAGCCCTGAGCCTCGTGAATATTTCAGCGGCGTTTGGTGTAGCAGAGGCCACCTGGCCCCTGCAGGGCCCGCCACGCTGAGATCCCAGGGACTGCTCCAGCTCGTGGCAAGGGTTTGGGGTAGCACGTGCTCCACCCAAGACCTCTCCTGCAGCAGCTGGTGGTCGGTGAGCACAAATGGATCTGCAGACTCTCTTTGGAGAGAGGCCAGGGCGTGAGCTGGCCCCGTGTCCCGTTTCCCCAAGGCAGCGGCCACGGCCCAGCTTCCTTCCCCTGGCTCCGTCACTTGTGCCCTCACACCCGACCTGAGGACTGGGCCCAAAGCCGAACTGGGGGTGGGCTGCCCAGGGTCTGTACCTCAGGAGTTTTGAACACGCCCACTGCCTACCAAGGCTGTAGCCCACACCAGGGCAGGGCTGGCAGGGCTGGGGGAGTCTGCAGCCCACCTCTCTGCCTTGAGGGCTTCATGGTTTTGGATGGTGGGGAAGGGGAGCAGTCTGGCTGGGTCGGCAAGAGGAGGAGCGGCTCTGAGCCCACCACTCAGGGGAGCCCCTACCAGGTGGCGGAGCCTATGCCAGGTCCCATCCTCCAGATGAGAAGATAGGATTGGCCCCAGGTGAGCTGGGGTAGGGACCACGCGGAGGACGGCCATCCTGGGGAGGCTGGGGTGTGCCCTGGTTTTGAAGACCAGGTGGGCTTTGTGAAAGACGTTTATTGATATATATATATATATATGATTTATTTATTTATTTGAAAGAGTTACACAAAGAGAGAAGGAGAGGCAGAGAGAGAGAGAGAGAGAGGTCTTCCATCGGCTGGTTTACTCCCCAGATGGCCGCGACAGGCTGAGCCCATCTGAAGCCAGCAGCCAGGTGTTTTTTCCAGGTCTCCCATGCAGGTGTAGGGACCCAAGGACTTGGGCCATCTTCCACTGCTTTCCCAGGCCATAGCAGAGAGCTGGATCAGAAGTGGAGCAGCCGGGACTTGAACCGGTGCCCATGTGGGATGCTGGCACTGCAGGCAGCGGCTTTTCCCGTTATGCCACAGTGCTGGCCCTGTGATACATTTCTTTTCCCATTGATATAAGTCATTCATACCAGCTTGTGATTTTAAAAATGATAAAGAATTATGGAGAAAAGGCAAAGAAGGGGGTTGGATACCTTGTTGTGAAAACCATGGTTAATACATGGGGAGGTGTTAGGCTGCCTTCTTTTGTTTATTGGGTTTTGTAGCATAGGCACTTGGTAGGGTAGGGCTTTGGCAGGTGCAGCTGAATAAGGAGGGGAAAGGCATTCAGAACGGAGGGGCCTGGCCCCCTGGGCTGGGGTTGCGGGCTGGAACACGGGGCTGCAGCCGCCTCTCTCCCAGCAACTCCACGGAGATGAATGAAGCCCATATTTTTGGGCAGTGCACAAGAGTTTCCAGTTCCAAAGCTACGTAAAGCAAATGCCAGGGTCTTTGGACCTGGTCTGTCCTGGTGTGGTGGCCACGAGCCACGCGTGGCCACTGTGCTCTTAATATTCAGCAAGTTCAAGTTGAGACCCACTGGTGCTATGAAGGTAGATCTTGGGTTTCCAAGATCCTGTGAGAATGAAGGCAAAATATCATATTCATAATTTTCTATCGCTATCATGTGGAAGTGATCATATTTTTTGGTATATTGGGTTAGGAAAATTACTAAAATTGGTTTTACTTGTGGTTTATACTTTTTGCACATGGCTGTTAAAACCGTTTAAATTCTGCCTGAGGGGCAGGAGACATGGATTGTCATTTGGGATGCATGCATCCCCTATCAGGGTGCTGGTTTGAGTCCCTGCACCTCTGCTTCCAACCAAACTTCCTGCTACTGTGCACCCTGGGAGGCAGCAGATGATGCTTCAAGTACCTGGGCCCCTGCCACTCATGTGGGAGACCTGGATGGAGTTCCTGGCTCCTGGCTTTGAACTTGGCCCAGCTCTGAATGTTGCAGACTTTAGGGAGTGAACTGATGGATAAAATATTTCCTTCTCTCTCTCCCTCTCTCTCTTTCTCTTTCCCTCTCTCTTGCTATGTCTTTCAAGGAGATGCAAATAAGTACATAAAGATTTAAATTCCATCTGAGGCTCACTTCCATGTGATGTTTCTTTCTACTGAGCTGATTTAGGTTCAACACTTCCCTAAACCCCCCTCTTCTAGGGGGACTTTCTGGGGTGACTCAGTCGGCAAGGGACTGGGGTGCCTTGGAGCAAGACTGTCTGGGCCAGGCTGGGGGTGGGGCTGGGGATGCCAGGCTGCCCCCTAAGCCTGACAAAGTCCCTGAGAGGGAGGGGAGCATGGGAGCCTCAGTATCCCTGTCCATTGTCTGCCTCCTTAGCAGTGAGCGCCTGTGAGAAATAAGCCAGCCTCCGTGCACAGCACCTGCTGCAGAGTGAGTGGTCGCAGGTGCACACACAATGATCAGATAGGGACTGGGCAGGGAGAGAAGTCCACAGCCCAGGGCTGCGCTGAGGGTGCCAGCCTGCCTGGATGGCTCCAGGGCTCAGAGTATTTGGAGAGTTTAATCCTTAAATCCTTTATTTGTAATCTCCCAGGAGCAGAGAGGCCCAGCGTGGTACCCACATGCACTGGCCCCGGGGAGCTGAAAGACCAGGCATTGAGGAGCCCCACTTCTAAGGGGGTGGATTCTCCCTGCTCCTGTGCTCAATCTGGGGTACCTACCTGGTGCTTTATTTTTTTAAAAAATATTTGTGGCTGGCGCCGCGGCTCACTAGGCTAATCCTCTGCCTGCGGCGCCGGCACCCTGGGTTCTAGTCCTGGTTGGGGCGCCGGATTCTGTCCTGGCAGCTCCTCTTCCAGTCCAGCTCTCTGCTGTGGCCCGGGAGTGCAGTGGAGGATGGCCCAGGTCCTTGGTCCCTGCATCCACATGGGAGACCAGGAGGAAGCACCTGGCTCCTTGCTTCGGATCGGCACAGCGCTCCAGCCACAACGCACCAGCCGTAGCGGCCACTTTGGGGGTGAACCAACGGAAAAAGGAAGATCTTTCTCTCTGTCTCTCTCTCTCTCACTGTCTAACTTCACCTGTCAAAAATTTTTTTTTTGTTTCTTTTCATCTACCTATAAGGCAGGGGCCTGGTGTTGTGGAGCAGCAGGTTAAGCCGCCGTTTGTAGTGCAGCATCCCACATTGGAGCACTGGTTCAAGTCCTGGCTGCTCCACTTCTGATCCAGCTCCCTGCTAATGCACCTGGGAAAGCAGCAGAGGATGGGCCAAATGCTCGGCCTTTGCAACTCAAATCAGAGGTCTGGGTGGGGGTCCTGGCTCCTGGTTTCAGCCTGGTCCAGCCCTGGCTGTTGTGGGCATTTGAGGATTGAACTAGCATCTCTCTCTCTCTCTCCCTGCTTTTTGAATAAATAAATAAATATTTTTAAAAAGAAAAGAGAGGGAGAGAGAGAGAGAGAGAGAGAGAGAGAAATCTTCTATCTGCTGGTTCATTTCCCAATTGCCTGCAACAGCCAGGGCTAAGCCAGACCAAAGCCAGGAGCCAGGAGCCAGGAGCCAGGAATTCCATCCAGGTCTCCCACATGGGTGACAGGGGCCCAGGTATTTGAGCCGTCATCTGTTGCCTCCCAGGTTGCCTTAGCAGGGAGGGAGCTGGATCGGAAGCAGGCATTTTGGCAGGTCTCCCCCACCTCCCCGCCCACCCCACTGCAGCCAGGCTGGCAAAGGCAGGCTAGGAGGAAATGTCAGCTCACCTCGCCTGGCACGGCTCTGCCCCCACTTGAAGCCCAGGCTACACCCTTGCCCAATTCATGGGTCAGCGGCTCTCAGAAGCATCCTCCTTTCACACTGACTGCCGAGGCGGGGGCCTCTCGCAAGTTCCCACAGTCCCACCCTCAGTGGGCCTCTTCCAGGCCAGCAGCTGCCAGATCGGGGAGGGCCTGTGCATACCGGGAGTAGCGGGCGCGGCTCCTGTGGGCGGGGGCGAGGGCCTGGAGCCTGGAGCCTGGAGCTGGGACGTCTGTGTTCAAACCTCAGCTCCTCCACCTGCTGGGTGTGACCGTGGGCAAGTTCACCAGCTTCCTCACCTCAGAAATGGGCACAATCCAAGTACCCTGCCCACTGGCTGGTTCAGAGGTTTGGCATCAGAAAGCAGCCAGGGGCGGTGCTGTGGTGTAGTGGGTTAAGTCTCTGCCTGTGGCACCGGCATCCCATATGGGTGCCGGTTCGAGTCCAGGCTGCTCCACAGCTCTCTACTGTGGCCTGGGAAAGCAGTGAAAGATGACCCAGGTGCTTGGGCCTTTTGTGATAAAAATGGGAGACCTCGCCTGAAGCTCCTGACTCCTGTTTTCGGATAAGCCCCCGCTTCAGCCACATTGATGAATGAACCAAAACAAGGATAACCTGTCTCTCTGTCTCACCTTCTTACTGTTCGTCACTCTACCTCTAAAATACTAATATATCTTAATCAAACTCAAATGAAAAATTTCCCAAACCTTATTAGAGCATGCATATTATGCAAACTGCCTGCATGGATGGAAAATATTCTTGCACCGAAATAAACTTCGCACGTGACTCTAGTGTGACTTTGACTGGCAAAACTTGCTCTGCCTCTCATGAAAGCAAATGGATTTTCGCCTGATCTCTAAGGCAAAATCTCCAGCTTCATACA